CACAAACCAGCCAGGAACTGAGCACCATTCCCCACAGCCTGATAGGAGCCCAGCACCACCCCCAGCAGCAGCAGAGCCAGCTCAGAGGCCCAGCACCTTCCCCCACAGCAGCAGTGACTAGCAGGAGTTGAGCCCTACTGCCAACAGCAGCTGAAGCTTGGGAGCTGAGAAACACCCCAGCTGCAGAGGCTTGGGAGACGACAACCATCCCCAGGCAGCAGCAGTGCAGATCGTCAGCTGAGACCCATCCCCAGCAGCATCAGCAGAGGCTGATCAGAAGCTGTGCCCCAGCCCAAGCAACAGCAAAGCTCAGGCAGCCAAGATCCATCCCTGATAAATGCAGCAGTAAATATGATTTTTGCTCCCCCAGCAGCAGTAAAGTCCTGGAAGCTGAGCATCCTCAGCCCCCAACAGCAGCAGAGGATTGAGAGCAGCTGAGAGTGCCCCCTGGCAACAGCAGTAGCAGTAGCCACACACAAACCAGGAGCTGACACTTGCTTCCAAAAGCATCAGCAGCCACTGATCAGGAGGTAAGCCCCAACAGGCAGCAATGCACCCCAGAATCACACTGGCAGGACCCACGCATCCCTGGCAGTGCACCAGTGGGACCCACACACCCCTTCTTGCTACTCCTTTCTGGCCTGCAAAGTTTCTTTTGAGAAATCAGCTGACAGTCTTATGGAAGCTCCCTTGTAGATAACTAACTGCTTTTAAGAATCTTTCTTCGGCTCTGGCTGGTTTGGCTCAGCAGTAGGAGCTTCAGCCTGCGGACCAGAGAGGCCTGGGTTCAGCTTCCACTAAGAGCACGTGCCTCGGTTGCAGTTTGTCCCCGGCCCTGGTTGGGGTTGTGTGGGTGGCAACCACTCGATGTGTTTCTCTCACATCAATTTTTCTGTCTCTCTCTTCCTCCCTTTCTCTCCCCCGCTCTGTCTGAAGATAAATTAAAAAAAAAAAATCTTTGTCTTTAACCTTTGGCATTTTGATGATGATATGTCTTGGTGTGGACCTCTTTGAGTTCATCTTGTTTGTGCTTCCCGGACTTGTGTATCTGTTTGCTTCATTAAGTTAGGGAAGTTTTCTGTCATTATTTTTCTCAAATAGCTTTTCAATTTCTTGCTGTCTTCCTCCTTCTGACAACCCCATGATATGAATGTTGGTACACTTGAAGTTGTGCCAGAGGCTCCTTACACTATCCTCATTTTTTTTTTTTTTTGTATAGACAGAGTGGGAGGGAGAGAGAGGAAGAGGGAGAGAGGGAAACATCGATGTGAAAGGGACACATTGAGTGGCTGCCACCCGCACGACCAACCAGGGCCGGGGACAAACTGCAACCGAGGTACATGCCCTTAGCGGGAACCGAACCTGGGCCACTCTGGACTGCAGGCGGACGCTCTAACCGCTGAGCCAAACTGGCCAGGGCTATCCTCATTTTTTAAAATTCTTTTTTCTTTTTGCTGTCCTGATTAGGTGATTTTGGTTCCTTATATTCCAAATTGATGGTTTGCTTCTTGGCTTTACCTACTCTATTATTTATTCCCTGTAAATTATTATTTCAGTTGGTGCATCCTTCATTTCTCACTGGTCCTTTTGTATGTTGTTGATGTTCTCACTAAGTTTCTTAGAGTTCTCCTTAAGCTCCTTAAAGTTCTCACTAAGTTCCTTGAGCATCCTTATAACCAGTGTTTTGAACTCTGCATCTGATTGATTGCTTATCTCCATTTTGTTTAGTTCTTTTCCTGGAATTTTGTTCTTTTCTTTCATTTGGGACATGTTTCTTTGTCTCCTCATTCTGGCTGCCTCCCTGGTTTTTTTTTTTACATATTAAGTAGAGTTGCTATGTCTCCTAGGTTTCCTAGGGTGGCCTATTATAGTAGGTGTCCTACAGGATCCAGTGGCACAGCCTCCATTATCATCCCAGCTGTGCCTGTGAGGTGCACCCCTTGTGTGGACTGTATACCACTTTGTTGTAATTGAGTCTTGATTGCTGTTGGCACATCAATGAGAGGGATTTACTCAAACTGATCAGCTGCAAGAACTGGATATGCCCACTGACTACTAGTTTCTGACTCCCTTGGAGGATCAGCAGTGTAGGGTCCCACCACACAGAGTAAGACTTACTTCAGCAGGCCTCTGGTACCCACTCCTTGAGTGTGTCACTTGTGGAAGTGGTTGGGTGGTGGTGCTTCGTCGTGTTCTGAAGCTATCCACTGGGTGTGCTGGCTCTGGGGCAAGGTCAGCCATTGGCTGTGTTCTATCCAGGGCCACCATGCATAAGCCACAAAGCGATCTGCAGATGGCTGCTTCTTGTGCTGGGCTTGGAGGTTCCCAGGCCAATGCAAGCTGTGAATCAAGGCTGGCTGCTCCCAGTGCTGAGCCCGGAGCCACTTAGTGAGAAGTATGGAGCTCGCTGAGGCCAGATGCTATTTGTTTGAGAGAATTTAGGAAAATCTAGATCAGGAGCCAAGACAGGCCATTCCTATGGTGAAGCCACTAGAAACAGCTTGAGTGGGCCTGAAAGTTGGGTGGGGAAGGGCCTAAGGGAATAACCAGGGTGGGGCAAACAGTATGAGCCAGGTTGCTGGAGTCCCAGGTATGGTGACTGTCTGCCTACCCTGTGGGGGAATGGCTCACCTCCACCAGCATGTCTGTCCAGGAGAAAGCTGCCTCTCCAGCTTTCACCCCAATGCCAAACAACTCAGTTCTTCTCCATGTTTCTCATGCCTTTCAAGCTGCCTCCTCCATGCTGGAGTCTGGAGGGAACAAATCCGAGTAAGTCCAAGCTGGGCCCTTTAAGAGGAACTACCTGGGGTTCCAGCAGCATCAGCCTTCTTCAGCTTCAATTCCCACTGCTTTTTACAGCCACAATTATGGGGACTTCTCTTCCTGGTACTGTAACCCTGAGCTGGGGGGGCCTGATATAGGATATGGACCCCTCACTCCTCAGGGAGGACCTTCACAGCTGACCCTCCTGATTTTTATCTACCACACTAGGTGTGGGACCAGTCTGACTGCGCCTCGGCCCCTCCTACCAGTCTTGATGTGGCTGCCTCTTTAACTTTGTAGTTGTAGGACTTCTATTCAGCTTGATTTCAGGCAGTTTTGAATGATGGTTGTTCTGTAGTTTAGTTGTAATTCTGATGTGATTGTGGGAGGATGTGATACCGTGTTTACCTATGCCACCATCTTGATTGGAAGTTTTTAGTCTTCATCTTATTTGATCCATCAGTAACATCTGACCCAGATGGTCTATACCCTTTTCCATGTGACTTTCAGAACACCACATTCTCTTTGTTTTCCTCCTACCCTACTGGCCTTTTCTTAGTCTCCTTTGCTGGTGCTATCTCATTTCCCTAACCTCTTACCATGGTGTTCCAAGGCTTAGTCTCTGAGACTTTTCACTCAGTCCACACTAATTATCTTGGTGAACTCATCTAGTTTCATGACTATGCTTAAGCATTTCAAATTTAACTAGTCCAAAACCAAAACCAAACTCTTATTTTCCCCAAACCTGCTCCGCCACAGTCCTCACCAGCTCAGCAAATGGGAACATCATCCTTCCAGTTGCTGAAGCCAAACACTCTTGGGAGTCAACCAACCCTCATTCTGTTACACCCCATATCCAATCCACCATCAAACGCTGGTGGCTCTATCTTATAAATATATTCCAGGTTAACGATCACTTTTCACAACCTCCTCTTCTACCATCCTGGTCCAAGCCATCATCATCTCTTACCTGAGATGGTGTCATAACTCCCTGACAGTTTTCTTTGCTTCCACCCTTGCTCAGGGTGATCATGTTTAAAATGTAAATCTGCAAGTTGCAGTATGCTCTAAACCTCCAATAGCTAGCTAACTCTCTTTCCCACTCAAAGTTATTAAAATCTCACACAATTTGGTCCCCTGAAACCTATTTGCCTCTTTGTTTTCTCCATTTCAGGAACATAGGCCTCCACGCCCATCCTAGAGCATGTCAAGCATGCTTCCAACTCTGCCTCTTTACACTAGCTGAAAGGCTCTTCTGGTTCAATGAATGAACCAATTCCCGAGTCAGTCACTGAACTACTGTCACCTAATTCTCATAACTCTGTGAGGTAAGTAGCAATACCCCCACTTTACAGACTGGGAAAGTGAGGTTTATAAGCCACCAATCTAACAAATAATAGAGTTGGGTTTCAGCCTTGGTTGGTCTGCACAGAAGATGAGCTCTCTGTGAGTTTCGAGGGGCTATATTAGGAAAGGGATTCCACTGATTCCAACTGCCACAGGTGGGTGTTGACAGCTAGAGAAGGATATGAGAAAGGGAAGTCGAAGAAAAAAGATGAGAACCAGAAGAATAAGTTACCCAAGTCAAGAGTGGAAAGTTTAAAGGAAAAGGGGGAGGGAGGTCAAATGGAACTGAGACACCCAGAAGGCGATGAATCCAGCACACACCTCATAGTAAACCACATCTGTGGTAGACAACTCTGACCTTGACTTTTTTTTAAGTATCTTGTACCAATAATATTGGCCAGAGATAGCCTATTAGGTAGGCACTTCCACATGCGTGCAGCAAGTGTGTGAAAATAGGTTGTAGTTAGCATATGATTGAACAACACAGCATCACACCTAAGCTTTCCTCTGGCCCAAGTGAGACGAAGTCTGCGTGTGGGGGGGCGTGGGGTAGGAAGAAGATTGGCCTTTAAATTTCAGAAGGCAAAGAAAACAGCAAGTATGTTCTGCCCCACTCCCCGTGGGTATGTGGGACACCAATGTCTACACCCCAGGTAGTCACTAAGAGGCCAGAGCGGTAGCCAGGGCCGGAGGCTGTCGGCCCTCACACCAAATTCTTCCAGCAACTTTTCGCCTCTGCCCCCTTGCTTTCCGTTCCACAGTCAAGACAGGAGACCCTAGACCTTAACCCACACGAAGTCCTCTCATCTCCATCGCCCAGACACATCCCAGGGAATGACCCGAGAAACCCCACACCCCGCAGCGGCCCGGGCGTGAAGACCCCGCCTCACCACGGCTCCGGCCACAGCGTGGACCAAGCTTTCGTAGGACAGCACAGAAGCCATTGGTCTGGTTCCTCTCAGACCTAGTCACACTTTTCCAGCAGCAGCAGAGGCCAGCAGAGTGAGGAAAGAGGAGCCAGAGCCCGGGCGAAGCGTCACAAGCTCCACCTTCTGAGGCCCGCCTCCTACAGAACAACCACTTCCGGGTCGTAGGGCGCCCTGTCTCCCAGCCAGAGGCCGCCGGGGGCGGAAAGACGGAAAGGCGGACCTGGGAATGGGCTCTTGGCTCTGATTGGCTCCCCGGGCCTGCGCGGGGCAGAGCAGAGCAGGGCTGGCTCCACCAGTAGGAATGTTCGGACAGCCTCCTAGAGGTTCCAGGATACCGGGCCAGTAGTGTTTCACGCTCACGAAACACTTGAGACTTCCTTTTTCTCCACTTCCGTCCATAATACGAGCAAGTTGGGGGACTAAGATCTACCTGTTTCTCTGCGACTTGATCCGTATTTTCTCTCGCTAGTACTTTTATTTCTCTCGCTAATATTTTTAAAGCCACATTTTAGCCAAGAGGAAATAAAATGTCGATTGGGCAAGGTTCTGCCCTCTGAAAAACCCTGGAGTGTGTTGGAAAGAGAAATTGAATTTCAGAAAGTCAAAACGATCAGATGCAGGTGGGAACACACTATTTGACAACAAGAAAAGTCTTTAATCTCTTGGTTTCCCTCTTTTGTGAAATGAGCGTTAATACAGTACTGTCGACTTCATTTGCTGTGAGGATTACAATGGCTAATTTATGTAGCCGTACTTTATAAAATACTTAAACTGTTTTTCCCATGTCGCAAAATGAAGAACTAAACTGCACAGAACTAGAGATACCATATTTCTAACCTAGCACCTGTAATATTGTTACCAGAAAGGGGACCTGGCCCTTGGTGAGTCTGCCTAGGGCTGGCTAGTAGTGTGTGGGTTCTTGGCTTCTTGGCTTCTGCAGAAAAAATTTCACAACAGAGTCCAGGTGAATTTTAGAGAACATTTATTAAAGCTGGGGACAATGAAACAAGGAAGGCCTGGGGAAATGAGCCTAGGCTGGGCTGCTTTAGCTAGCTAAGAAGTCAGAGAAAAGGGGACCTTGGGGACAGGTTCAAGGTGTATGAGCTGCTGTTGCTCATTGTTCCCCTGGTTCCAAGTCCCTTAGAATTTAGAAGATGCATGCCTGTGGGGAAAAGGAGGGAAGGGAAAAGTGCAGGTGTGTTCCTGGGAGGGAGAGCATGCTTCTAGCCACATTTTCACATAATTTGTAGAAACTATTGGTTAAGAGATCTCTATATTACAACCCAAAATATCCTACTGACCTGGGTGAGTGAACTTAAGGACATCCTAATTGATGTACCAGATACCTAGATTTTTCAGAGCACCAATCATATTGTTTACCTCCTTGCTAATCTGGCTCTGCCTAATACTTGGAATCCATAGTCTTTTTTTAATGGATTTTTATAGATAGAGAAAAGCAGGGGAGGGAGAGAAACATCAACATGAGAGCAAAACATAGATGAGCCACCTCCTACATGTCCCCCACCAGGGACCAAACCAGGAACCCCTCAATGAACAGGAAGATGCCCAGCCAAATGAGCCACAGTGGCCAGGACGGAATCCAGTTTTAAAATTAGGATTTCACTGCTCTGGCCGGCTTGGCTCAGCAGTAGAGTGTTGGCCCACGAACCAATGGGTTGTGATTCGATTCTGGCCATGGGCCCATACCTCAGTTGCTGTTTGTCCCCAGTCCTGCAGGGTCATGTGGAGGCAACCAGTTGATGCTGCCCTCTCACATAGATGTTTCTCTCTCTCCCTCTCACTCTATCTGATGATAAATAGAAAAATATCCTCAGGTGAGGATTTTTTTTTTAATTAGGATTTCACCTAAAATGAATGTCAGATATTTTATTGTTTGATGTTATTTTTTAATCCTCACCTGAGGACATTTTTTTGCATTTATCTTTAGATAGAGCAGGAGGGACAGAGGGAAGAAGGGAGAGAGAAAAGCATCGATGTGAGAGAGACACATAGAGTGGCTGCCACCCACATGATCGCAACCGGGGCCAGGGACACTCTGGTCTGTGGGCCAACACTCTAACCGCTGAGCCAAACTGGCCAGTGCTTATTGTTTGACTTTATAGAAAATCATAAATTTACACTCACATCAGCACTACACAAAAGGTGTTACTAAATAACACAAACTTAAAATTTTTACCAAGATGGTGTATAAATTTGTCTTTTAAAAAAAATTTTTTTCTTTATTGATTTTAGAGAGAGGTAGGAAGAGGGAGAGAGAGAACATCAATTGGCCACTTCCTGCATGCCCCCCACTGGGGTCTTGGCCTACAACCTGGGCATGTTCCCTGACCGGGAATCCAACCAGCAACCTCTTGGTGCATGGATAAACGCTCAACTGCTGAGCCACACCAGCCAAGCTAAATTTGTCTTTTTATTTTTTTTTTTAATTAATTAACTTATTTACTTTTGTTACAAATGTTTCTCCTTTTTCCCCCATTGATACCCCACTCCCGCTCCCTCCCCATCCTGTCCCCAGCTTTGTTGTCCATGTCCATTGTTCATGTATACATGCATATAAGTTCTGTGGTTTATCTCTCCCCTGCCACCCCCTCTTCTGGGAATTGTCAGTCTGTACCCCACTTCAACGTCTCTGGGACTACTCCATTCCTCAGCTGTTATGTCCATTATATTCCACAAATAAGTGAGATCATATGATACTTGTCTTTCTCTGTTTGGCTTGTTTCGCTTAGGATAATACTTTCCAGTTCCCTCCATGTCATCTCAAAGGATAAGAGATCTTTCTTGCCCTGGCCGGTTTGGCTCAGCGGTTAGAGCGTCAGCCTGCGGTCCTGAGAGACCCGGGTTCGGTTCCTGCTAAGGGCGTGTACCTCGGTTGCAGTTTGTCCCCGGCCCTGGTCGGTCATGCGGGTGGCAGCCACTCGATGTGCCCCTTTCACATCTATGTTTCTCTCTCTCTCTCTGTTCCTCTCTCTCCCTCCCACTCTACCTAAAACAAAAAATGGAAAAATGTTCTCGGGTGAGGATAAAAAAAAAAAAGAGATCTTTCTTTCTTACAGCTGCATAGTACTCCACAGTGTATATGTACCACTGCTTTTTTATCCATTCATCTACTGATGGACATTTGGGCTGTTTCCAGATCTTAGCTATTGTAAATAGTGCTGCTATGAACATGGAGGTACATATATTCTTTATGATTGGTGTTTCAGACTTCTTAGGGTATATTCCTAAAAGTGGGATCACTGCGTCAAGTGGCAGTTCAATGTTTAATTTTTTGAGGTAACACCATATTGTTTTCCATGGTGGCTGCACCAATTTGCATTCCCACCAGCAATGTACTAGCGTCCCCTTTTCTCCACACCCTCGCCAACACTTGTTGTTTGATGATTTGTTGATGGGCAGCCATTCTGACAGGTGTGAGGTGATACCTCACTGTTGTTTTAATTTGCATCTCTCTGATGATTAGTGATGTTGAACATTTCTCCATATGTCTCTTAGCCATTTGTATGTCCTGTTTGGAGAGGTGACTATTTAACTCCTCTGCCCATTTTTTAATTGGGTTCTTTGTCTTCCTTTTGTTGAGCTGTATAAGCACTCTATATATATTGGAAATTAACCCCTTATCTGATGTATCATTGGCAATTATGCTCTCCCATAGAGTGGGTTGCCTTTCGATTTTGGTGGTTGTTTATTTTGTTGTGCAGAAGCTTTTGAGTTTGATGTAGTCCCATGTGTTCATTTTCTCCTTTGTTTCTGTTGCCTTAGGTGATGTATCAATGAAAATTCTGCTGTGTATGATGTCTGAAATTTTGTTGCCCACATTTTCTTCTAGGATTTTTATGGATTCATGAGTCACATTTAAGTCTTATCCATTTTGAGTTTATTCTTGTGTATGGTGTATGGTGTAAGTTGATGGTCTAGTTTCATTTTTTTGCATGTAGCTGTCCAATTTTCCCAACACCATTTATTAAAGAGGCTGTCTTTACTCCACTGTATGCTCTTGTCCCCTTTGTCAAATATTAATTGAGCATATTGTCTTGGGTCCATTTCTGGGTTCTATATGCTGTTCAATTGATCTACCTGCCTATTCTTGTGCCAGTACCAGGATGTTTTGATTACAGTGGCTTTCTAGTATAACCTAAAATCTGGTAATGTGATCCCTCCAACTTTGTTCTTCTTTTTCAAGATTGGTGTGGCTGTTCGGGGTCTTTTTTGGTTCCATATGAACTTTTGAAGTATTTGTTCTAGTTCTGTTAAGTATGTCATTGGGCCCTGGCACGATTGACTCAGCTGTTAGAGTGTCAGCCTGTGGTCCAGAGAGACCCGGGTTATGGAAAAAAGAACATAAAATACACATAAGCCTGCCCTGGCTGGTTTGGCTCAGCGGTTAGAGCATCGGCCTACGGCCCAGAGAGACCAGGCTTCGGTTCCCGTTAAGGGCGCGTACTGCAGTTGCAGTTTGTCCCCAGCCATGGTTGATCATGCGGGTGGCAGCCACTCGATGTGTCCCTTTCACATTGATGTTTCTCTCTCTCCCTCCCACTCTATCTGAACAAAAAATGGAAGAAAAAAAAAATGTCCTCGGGAGAGGATAAAAAAAAGTATGTCATTGGTATTTTGATGGGGATTACATTGAATCTATAGATTGCTATGGGTAGTATGGACATTTTAATGATGTTAATTTCCAATCCATGAACAAGGTATGTGCTTTCACTTTTTTATATCTTCCTCTATTTCCTTTTTCAATGACCTGCAGTTTTATGTGAATAGGTCCTTTATTTCCTTGGTTAAGTTTATTCCTAGGTATCTTGTTTTTTTGCTGCGATGGTAAATGGGGTTGTTTTTTTAGTTTCTCTTTCTGTGACTTCATCATTGGTGTATAAGAATGCCGTCGATTTCTTGATGTTAATTCTGTATCCTGCTACTTTGCCAAATTCATTTATTAAGTCTAGTAAAGTTTTGATGGAGTCTTTGGAGTTTTCTATGTATAGTATCATGTCATCTGCAAATAATGACAGTTTCACTTCCTCCTTTCCAATTTGGATCCCTTTTATTTTTTCTTCCTGTCCACTTGCTGTGGCTAA